GGGCTTCCAAGAATGCCTCGGGGGAGCTCTTCGGAGCTAGCTGAGAGCGGATCGAGAAGGACGGCTAGCGACGAGCCTGGGCCCGGAACTACGGAGCGGGAATATGTGGACAGCGCAATAAATCAGACATATACGCCGCTAGCGCAGCCCACAGGACCGACGCCGAGCCGATTGACACAGCCCAGAACAAGCAAGTCGAGAGCTCTCGAACGACTCCTGGCCGATCCAAATCGGGTACAGAGAAGTGGGGATCGAGGCGAAAACAGGAAGGCGGATCTTCCAAGTCAGAGCTCCCGAGGCGAAAGGACTGGCTCGTCTCTAACATCCGTACCTGTGTTGCGTTGTGGGACGGAAATCTAGTCGATATTCGATGGCGCGCGAGACCCTCATGTGCCCATTTTCGGTGTGCAATAAACGTCTACCCCCCTGTCGTGTCGTTTTCGCTACACTGGTGCCGTGACCATTCGCGATGGAGTTGACCCGGTTGGAGCAATTTGCGGCCGGTGACGTGGAGGCTTGGCTCGATGAGTTCGACGGAATTGCGGCTTGTGCGGGTGTGAGGGGGGATGCAAATTTGCTAATTGCTTTGGGCACACGGTTGAGTGGACGAGCCAAGGCGGTGTATCTGCTCACTCGAAAAGCCAAACCCAGCTGTTCGTTCGCTGAGATGAGGGCCGCCTTGTGTGCAGAATTTGGGAAGGATCTGGAGAGAGAACGAGCACTGCAACGATTTCACGCAGCCAGATGGGACGAACAGGAGGATTTGATGGTGTTTTTCCAGCAGCTGGACAGACATCTAACGATTGGGCTCCCCGAGTTAGAGGGCAACGCAAGAGAGCGCCTACTGAAACAGCAGTTTATCCGAAGTCTGCCCGATCCACTCCGTGATCAGGTGAAATTGGCGTCGATGGTGGGAGACAGCAAAGCGTTGGATCTGGTGACGGTCGCCCAGAATTTGTCGGAACGAGTGACAGTGAGAAGCATCCAGCATGCTGAGTTGGAACAGAAAGTAAATCGCCTATCCGAAATGGTGGAGCAGCTGTTGTCGATAGAGTCTTCAAGCACCACTTCACAACGCAATGTACGGGTAATCCGGAACGGTCGCCGCTGTTTCCGATGCAACCAGAGTGGTCATGTGGCGAGATTCTGCACTAACGTCAATGTGCCCCATTGTTTCTCTCTATCCATGCCGAGTCGGTGGCGAGTACCAGTCCTCCAGGTAACTATAGAAGGTGTGTCTGTCCGAGCCATAGTAGACACAGGAGCGGCAGTGTCAATTACGAAGAGGTTCAACGGGGTTCCAGTAAACCCATCTTCAATCACGATGCAGACGGTCGGCGGGCATTCTTTGAAAGTGACGGGCACGCAGCGGTTACGAATCAGGATAGGAGAAACGCTCATCCGCCATGACATGTTCATCGTGGAGGAGACGACCGAAACCATCATCGGAACCGACATCCTGAAACGGCTCGGTGTCACAATTGACCTGAAAAACGATGTGGTGATCGTGGCTAACGATACGATCGAGATAAACAAGGGGAGAACCGACCGGGTTGGTGCCCTCAAAGCCGTGCCTGATTGTCAGAACCGTGCAATACGCAACGTACTGAGCAGGTATGCCCACTTATTCACAGACGCGGAAGATGATTACGGATTTTGCAATTGGGTTGAACACCGAATACCGTTGATCCCAGGAGGACAATGCAAGCCAATCTTCAGACGAATTCCACAGAACACCCTGGTGGAGATACAGAAGCAGGTGACCGAGATGGAATCGAAAGGAATCATCAGGCGAACGCACAGCCCGTATTCATCACCCGTGCTATTGACGAAGAAGGCCGACGGAACCTATCGATTTTGCATCGATTTCAGAGAACTAAACAGGGTGACTGTGAAGGATGCATTCCCGATGCCTCAGATGGAAGAAATTTTCTCAAGCCTCCACAGTGCCAAGCAGATATCTCTGATTGATCTCCGCTCGGGATATTGGCAACTGCCGATCGCAGAAGAAGATCGCCACAAGACGGCTTTCAGTGTCAATGGCCAGCAGTATGAGTTTTTGAGAATGCCGTTTGGATTGTGCAACGCCCCGGCTACATTCAGGCGTTTGTTGCTGATGGTCCTGGCGAACCTGCAAGGCGTGGTTGTGTATGGTGATGACATCATCGTCTTCTCTGAGACGGAACAGGAACATGTGACCAGACTTGGAGCAGTACTGCAGAGGCTGGACGAAGCTGGTCTGAAACTCAGTCGTAAAAAGTCGCAGATTGCCCAAAAGTCAATTGTATGCTTGGGTCACATCGTGGGCAATGGTCAAGTCCATCCACTTCCGGAGAAACGCGAGACGATCAAGTGCTTCGCAAAACCAAAATCCAAGCGTCAGCTCCGTTCGTTCTTGGGAGTGGTGGCATATGATTCAAAGTTTGTGCCCCAGTTCGCAGAGAAGGTCAGCCCGTTGTTAAAGCTGCTTCGCAAGGACGTGCCGTTCGTGTGGACAGCTGAAGCGGATCAGGCCTTTGACCATCTAAAGGCAGGCATAGCAGAAGCCCCGACATGTCTACGGCTACCCAATCCTGGTGAGAGGTTCACTGTGGCTGTCGACGCAAGCAACGTGGCCATCGGTGCGGTTTTGTCTCAACCGGCTGGGGTGGTGGAGTACGCGAGCAGAGTGCTGACGGGGGCGGAACAGAAGTATTCAACAACGGAGAAAGAATGCTTGGCCATCGTGTGGGCGTTAGAGAAGTGGAGAAATTACTTACTGGCGAATGAATTCCGGGTCGTCACTGACCACAAACCGCTCTCGTGGTTGATGACGGCGAAAGACCCGCGGGGACGGCTTGCGCGATGGGCCTACCGATTGCAGGAATTCAACTTCACCATTGAGCACGTGGATGGAACGCAAAATGTATTGCCAGATATGTTGTCACGCCCGTGTTTGGACGACATCATGCCAGACAATGCCATACCGGTGCGTGCGATCGCGATGGGGGAGAGGAACCTGCTGGGAGATCAAAGGACAGATGAATTCGTGAATGTGTTGTGCTCTCACTTACAGGCTGGCACCAAACCGGAGGCCACATCGGAAGAGGTGGAGGAACTCCTCAAGATCTGGGACAGGTTGAAGGTCGAAAACGATAACGTGGTGGTGGCGATAGACGGACGGAAAGTGCCTTTTGTTCCACCAAATCAGCGAGAACGTGTGATGCGTATAACTCATGATGGCGCCCATATGGGATTCGAGCGGGTCTTTGAATTGCTGCGGAGGCGAGTGTTTTGGCCAACCATGAGGAAGGACGTCGCGGCATACATTCGGGGTGCCCAAACTGCCAAACGAGTCGGGAGATGGAGTCCCCGAGACCGCCGATGCGATCGATGGAGGTTGGTGAGCCACTTCAGTGTTGGGGACTGGACGTCTTTGGGCCCTTACCAGTGAGTCGAACAGGAAACAGATACATTCTAGTGATGATTGACCACTTCACTCGATGGGTGGAAGCCATACCAATCAAGGACCAAACAGGCGAGACAGTGTCGCAAGTATTCGAATTCAATGTGCCTGCAAGGTATGGGATCCCACAGTGTATCATCACGGACCAAGGGCCCTGCTTCGAGTCAAAAGCGTTTAAGGCAGTGTTGGACAAGTGGGGCATCCAGAGACGGCGAACTTCACCGTACCACCCACAAACCAACGGCATGACCGAGCGGTTCAACCGGACATTGAAGACGTGGATAAACTGCACGAAGTTGGCATGGGAAGATGCTTTGCCTCAGGTTCTGATCGCGTATCGGACCAGCATGCAATCAACCACCAAGGTCGCGCCATTCGAATTACTGTTCGGCAGAGAACCACGGATTGCGCTCGATACTTGCCTACCGAACCAGGGCGAGCGGGAACATCCAGCTGGGCATCAAGAGCGACTGCGAGGGAAAGCTAGAAGCGAAACCAAAGCTCGACAAGCGCGGAATAAGCGAAATTACGACGCCAGGCATGAGGCTCACAAGTGGAGGCCATTCAGGATTGGAGAACAAGTCAAGTTACGGAACAACGATCGGCCGGATCATGACGGGCCGGGCGCAAGCAAGTTCAGAGAACGCTGGAAAGGCCCCTACACCATTATCGACCAGAAAGCGGGCAACTTCTTAATCGACTGCGGAGGAATGAAACGTTGGGTGAATGCTGCTCTCCTGCGACCATGGTACGAGAGGAAGAAAGGTCCTCGAGGAGGGGCGGGTGTAGAGGGGCCGCTTCCAAGAATGCTTCGGGGGAGCTCTTCGGAGCTAGCTGAGAGCGGATCGAGAAGGACGGCTAGCGACGAGCCTGGGCCCGGAACTACGGAGCGGGAATATGTGGACAGCGCAATAAATCAGACATATACGCCGCTAGCGCAGCCCACAGGACCGACGCCGAGCCGATTGACACAGCCCAGAACAAGCAAGTCGAGAGCTCTCGAACGACTCCTGGCCGATCCAAATCGGGTACAGAGAAGTGGGGATCGAGGCGAAAACAGGAAGGCGGATCTTCCAAGTCAGAGCTCCCGAGGCGAAAGGACTGGCTCGTCTCTAACATCCGTACCTGTGTTGCGTTGTGGGACGGAAATCTAGTCGATATTCGATGGCGCGCGCGAGACCCTCATGTGCCCATTTTCGGTGTGCAATAAACGTCTACCCCCCTGTCGTGTCGTTTTCGCTACACTGGTGCCGTGACCATTCGCGATGGAGTTGACCCGGTTGGAGCAATTTGCGGCCGGTGACGTGGAGGCTTGGCTCGATGAGTTCGACGGAATTGCGGCTTGTGCGGGTGTGAGGGGGATGCAAATTTGCTAATTGCTTTGGGCACACGGTTGAGTGGACGAGCCAAGGCGGTGTATCTGCTCACTCGAAAAGCCAAACCCAGCTGTTCGTTCGCTGAGATGAGGGCCGCCTTGTGTGCAGAATTTGGGAAGGATCTGGAGAGAGAACGAGCACTGCAACGATTTCACGCAGCCAGATGGGACGAACAGGAGGATTTGATGGTGTTTTTCCAGCAGCTGGACAGACATCTAACGATTGGGCTCCCCGAGTTAGAGGGCAACGCAAGAGAGCGCCTACTGAAACAGCAGTTTATCCGAAGTCTGCCCGATCCACTCCGTGATCAGGTGAAATTGGCGTCGATGGTGGGAGACAGCAAAGCGTTGGATCTGGTGACGGTCGCCCAGAATTTGTCGGAACGAGTGACAGTGAGAAGCATCCAGCATGCTGAGTTGGAACAGAAAGTAAATCGCCTATCCGAAATGGTGGAGCAGCTGTTGTCGATAGAGTCTTCAAGCACCACTTCACAACGCAATGTACGGGTAATCCGGAACGGTCGCCGCTGTTTCCGATGCAACCAGAGTGGTCATGTGGCGAGATTCTGCACTAACGTCAATGTGCCCCATTGTTTCTCTCTATCCATGCCGAGTCGGTGGCGAGTACCAGTCCTCCAGGTAACTATAGAAGGTGTGTCTGTCCGAGCCATAGTAGACACAGGAGCGGCAGTGTCAATTACGAAGAGGTTCAACGGGGTTCCAGTAAACCCATCTTCAATCACGATGCAGACGGTCGGCGGGCATTCTTTGAAAGTGACGGGCACGCAGCGGTTACGAATCAGGATAGGAGAAACGCTCATCCGCCATGACATGTTCATCGTGGAGGAGACGACCGAAACCATCATCGGAACCGACATCCTGAAACGGCTCGGTGTCACAATTGACCTGAAAAACGATGTGGTGATCGTGGCTAACGATACGATCGAGATAAACAAGGGGAGAACCGACCGGGTGGGTGCCCTCAAAGCCGTGCCTGATTGTCAGAACCGGGCAATACGCAACGTACTGAGCAGGTATGCCCACTTATTCACAGACGCGGAAGATGATTACGGATTTTGCAATTGGGTTGAACACCGAATACCGTTGATCCCAGGAGGACAATGCAAGCCAATCTTCAGACGAATTCCACAGAACACCCTGGTGGAGATACAGAAGCAGGTGACCGAGATGGAATCGAAAGGAATCATCAGGCGAACGCACAGCCCGTATTCATCACCCGTGCTATTGACGAAGAAGGCCGACGGAACCTATCGATTTTGCATCGATTTCAGAGAACTAAACAGGGTGACTGTGAAGGATGCATTCCCGATGCCTCAGATGGAAGAAATTTTCTCAAGCCTCCACAGTGCCAAGCAGATATCTCTGATTGATCTCCGCTCGGGATATTGGCAACTGCCGATCGCAGAAGAAGATCGCCACAAGACGGCTTTCAGTGTCAATGGCCAGCAGTATGAGTTTTTGAGAATGCCGTTTGGATTGTGCAACGCCCCGGCTACATTCAGGCGTTTGTTGCTGATGGTCCTGGCGAACCTGCAAGGCGTGGTTGTTTATGGTGATGACATCATCGTCTTCTCTGAGACGGAACAGGAACATGTGACCAGACTTGGAGCAGTACTGCAGAGGCTGGACGAAGCTGGTCTGAAACTCAGTCGTAAAAAGTCGCAGATTGCCCAAAAGTCAATTGTATGCTTGGGTCACATCGTGGGCAATGGTCAAGTCCATCCACTTCCGGAGAAACGCGAGACGATCAAGTGCTTCGCAAAACCAAAATCCAAGCGTCAGCTCCGTTCGTTCTTGGGAGTGGTGGCATATGATTCAAAGTTTGTGCCCCAGTTCGCAGAGAAGGTCAGCCCGTTGTTAAAGCTGCTTCGCAAGGACGTGCCGTTCGTGTGGACAGCTGAAGCGGATCAGGCCTTTGACCATCTAAAGGCAGGCATAGCAGAAGCCCCGACATGTCTACGGCTACCCAATCCTGGTGAGAGGTTCACTGTGGCTGTCGACGCAAGCAACGTGGCCATCGGTGCGGTTTTGTCTCAACCGGCTGGGGTGGTGGAGTACGCGAGCAGAGTGCTGACGGGGGCGGAACAGAAGTATTCAACAACGGAGAAAGAATGCTTGGCCATCGTGTGGGCGTTAGAGAAGTGGAGAAATGACTTACTGGCGAATGAATTCCGGGTCGTCACTGACCACAAACCGCTCTCGTGGTTGATGACGGCGAAAGACCCGCGGGGACGGCTTGCGCGATGGGCCTACCGATTGCAGGAATTCAACTTCACCATTGAGCACGTGGATGGAACGCAAAATGTATTGCCAGATATGTTGTCACGCCCGTGTTTGGACGACATCATGCCAGACAATGCCATACCGGTGCGTGCGATCGCGATGGGGGAGAGGAACCTGCTGGGAGATCAAAGGACAGATGAATTCGTGAATGTGTTGTGCTCTCACTTACAGGCTGGCACCAAACCGGAAGCCACATCGGAAGAGGTGGAGGAACTCCTCAAGATCTGGGACAGGTTGAAGGTCGAAAACGATAACGTGGTGGTGGCGATAGACGGACGGAAAGTGCCTTTTGTTCCACCAAATCAGCGAGAACGTGTGATGCGTATAACTCATGATGGCGCCCATATGGGATTCGAGCGGGTCTTTGAATTGCTGCGGAGGCGAGTGTTTTGGCCAACCATGAGGAAGGACGTCGCGGCATACATTCGGGGTGTCCAAACTGCCAAACGAGTCGGGAGATGGAGTCCCCGAGACCGCCGATGCGATCGATGGAGGTTGGTGAGCCAATTCAGTGTTGGGGACTGGACGTCTTTGGGCCCTTACCAGTGAGTCGAACAGGAAACAGATACCTTCTAGTGATGATTGACCACTTCACTCGATGGGTGGAAGTCATACCAATCAAGGACCAAACAGGCGAGACAGTGTCGCAAGTATTCGAATTCAATGTGCCTGCAAGGTATGGGATCCCACAGTGTATCATCACGGACCAAGTGCCTTGCTTCGAGTCAAAAGCGTTTAAGGCAGTGTTGGACAAGTGGGGCATCCAGAGACGGCGAACTTCACCGTACCACCCACAAACCAACGGCATGACCGAGCGGTTCAACCGGACATTGAAGACATGGATGAACTGCAAGATGTTGGCATGGGAAGATGCTTTGCCTCAGGTTCTGATTGCTTATCGGACCAGCATGCAATCAACCACCAAGGTCGCGCCATTCGAATTACTGTTCGGCAGAGAACCACGGATTGCGCTCGATACTTGCCTACCGAACCAGGGTGAGCGGAAACATCCAGCTGGGCATCAAGAGCGACTGCGAGGGAAAGCTAGAAGCGAAACCAAAGCTCGACAAGCGCGGAATAAGCGAAATTACGACGCCAGGCATGAGGCTCACAAGTGGAGGCCATTCAGGATTGGAGAACAAGTCAAGTTACGGAACAACGATCGGCCGGATCATGACGGGCCGGGCGCTAGCAAGTTCGGAGAACGCTGGAAAGGCCCCTACACCATTATCAACCAGAAAGCGGGCAACTTCTTAATAGATTGCGGAGGAATGAAACGTTGGGTGAATGCTGCTCTCCTGCGACAATGGTACGAGAGGAAGAAAGGTCCTCGAGGAGGGGCGGGTGTAGAGGGGCCGCTTCCAAGAATGCTTCGGGGGAGCTCTTCGGAGCTAGCTGAGAGCGGATCGAGAAGGACGGCTAGCGACGAGCCTGGGCCCGGAACTACGGAGCGGGAATATGTGGACAGCGCAATAAATCAGACATATACGCCACTAGCGCAGCCCACAGGACCGACGCCGAGCCGATTGACACAGCCCAGAACAAGCAAGTCGAGAGCTCTCGAACGACTCCTGGCCGATCCAAATCGGGTACAGAGAAGCGGAGATCGAGGCGAAAACAGGAAGGCGGATCTTCCAAGTCAGAGCTCCCGAGGCGAAAGGACTGGCTCGTCTCTAACATCCGTACCTGTGTTGCGTTGTGGGGCGGAAATCTAGTCGATATTCGATGGCGCGCGCGAGACCCTCATGTGCCCGTTTTCGGTGTGCAATAAACGTCTACCCCCCTGTCGTGTCGTTTTTCGCTACAATATTAAGGAATGCTTTACGGCTTCACATATACAAACCTTAACAATCCAAAGATTTTTCCTTGTTGTATGTCATGCGAATGGTGTCTCAAAGGGGAACTGAATTAAGAGACTAACTGTTAGCGACTAAACTCAAGCACAGAAACGAACCACGGGAGCTTGATTCGATAGCTGACTGCGTCAACTGGTTAGCTTCAAGGACACCAAGCCATCTTCCCTATTCTGTAAAGCATGCTTGGATGAACAGTAGGTTCTCAACATGTGGAAACAATCATTACCTTGTTTTCTTTTTAAGGAAACTAGCCGTTCGGAACCCACTATCACCAAATGATCTTACTCCCGGTACTCTCTAAGGTGATGGGGTCGATCGTAGATGATGTACTAATGGACTGTTTAGAATTAACATTATAACTCAGGAACAACACGGCTTCCGCTAACCTCGATCATATGCTGCCAATCTGCTGATTGCGTTTGACAGTTAGACCGAATAGTGGGTAGTGGGATCGGCATAAATGTCATCTATCTAGTTTCCCAAAGCCTTCGATCGCCTAAATTATCGCATCCTTCTTCGAGACCTGAAAGCCTACGGTATTGGGAAGCCTGTACTTAGATGGATCAATAACTTCCTCCATCAGTGGTGTCTACTTGTTCGGGTTAGTGCTTATTTTCTGATGTTATTGATGTGAACTACGGTCTTCCACTAGAATCAGTGTTAGGACCACATTTATTCTCCGTCTTCCTCAACGAACGTGCGGGTGTCATCGGGTCAAACTACTTGCTTGTGCTGATGACAACAAAATATGGCGGGTGCTCGGTACTCAGGAACGTCACAAAGTGCTACAACAAGACACAGACCGTGTTCTTGCATACTCAAGAATAAAGACGCTACCTTTCAACATGGACTACAAATTGAAGACCGCCTCACAGGCATGCAACCTTGAGGTTATGGGGAAAGGCAACCTCGTCTGTTTGGATTACGGCGTGGTGTCCAAAACCGTGAATCAACATGTCAGTCTCTATGCAGGGCGTCCGGGCGGCTCAACCCTTCTAACTTCCCACAAATGTACACCATTTGTGTCATGTGACATAACACGCAAACAATGACGCAAACAACGTGCCCACCAGCCCCACATGGAAACAGCGGTAAAGGGATTTACTTGTG